ATAAGCAAAAAGAAAAAAGCCAGAAGTGGTGCTGTGGCTCAAGTGGTAGAGTGCTAGCCTTGAGCTGAAGAGCTGAGGGACAGCGCCCAGGCCCACAGTACAGGCCCCACGACCAGACCCAAAAAAAAAAAAAAATCTCATGGACTTTTCTGCCTGGGCTGGCTTTGAACTGAGATCTTCAAGATCCTCAGATCTGTTTTCTGAGTAACTAGGATTACTATAGGCATAAGCCACTGGAGCCTGACTGGCATGAAGAAAGCAGCTGCTGAGCTACCCCCACCTTGGGATTTAGCTTAGCTTTGTACATCATATGGTTTCCTGTGAAGATGAACTAAATGAATGAAGGAATTAATGAGTGAGTGACTCCAGGATGCAATTACAATCCTCCATCCTTAAGTTAATGTTCCTAGTTCTTCCTTCCTTGACATCTGTGTCCATCCCTATCTAGAGATGGGGCCCAGCTGGGAACCCAGCACAGTACAGTAACGCAGACAGCTAGGTGGGCTCCACCAGACATCCCAGTTCAGACTTCCCAGGAACAAGCTGTACCCAGCAACAGCTCCAAATCAGGCAACAGGCAGAGAAAACTATAAGACCATATGTTTATCACGTGGCCTCCTCTGTGGCTCCCAGTGACTGCCGCCCACCTGTGCCTCTTTCTATAAATAAATGGAGGTGACAGAGACAGGACAGGGTGGGGACAAGCTGGATGGGTACAGCCATGTTGACCTCCTCACCTTCTGAGATGACCCAGACCCAGACCCAGGGCCTGACATAGGGCCTTAGTTTAACCACCTCTGCTGGGTATCGGGCTTCCCACAGCCTCATCACCAGAGCCAGCCATGCCCTCTGCTACCTGCATAAAGCTAAAGCATTCTCTGCGTCTGGCGCTGGTGATACTGGTTATAATCTCACTAATGACAGCTCTTAATTATTTGCCGCTCCATTGTTTTACCTAGATTATTAGAACCCCAGCAAGTCCTCACATAATCCTAGGAGTTAGGTTTGATTGCTATCCCCCTTGTACAGACAGGAAACTGAGGCTGGGGATGGGGAACTGACATCCTCAAGATCTCAGGTTAGAAAGTGGCAGAGGTAGGACGTGAACACATGGAGGTCTGGCTTCGAATCTCACCCTGGCACAATCAGCATCACGAGCACCCATGGCCTTCCAGGCTCCTGGATGCATCTCCCGATAGGGTAGAGCAGCACAGACGCCTGGACCATCAATACCCCAAACTCTTAGGAAACCTGGTGCCCAGCCCCCAGCCTTGTAGAGCAGGGTATTGTGCAGATAATACCCCAGCCTGGTCTGTCGGCTTTCTGCAGCAAGCCTGTCCCAGGCCCAGCCGGGTACATTTTCCCCTTACACCATGTGATCTGCAGAGCTAGTCTGTCTCTGCCCTGCAAAGCCTGGTTCTAGCAATAGCAAAAGGAACCCTGTAACTTAATCTTAGTAACTCTTTCATCCTTCATCCTCTTTAAAGCCATTTATTTATTTGTTGGCTGCACTAGGATTTGAATTCAGGTCCTTGCA